TTATTAGTGAGAGAACTCCTAATCTCAGCTGAGGAGAGTGAACATATATTCCTCCAACACTGTCGGAGTCACTCGAAGACACAAAAGATTGTCCTCCAAGTCACTTCGACATTCTCGCCTCTCATTATCAAAATATGCTGAATCCAGCACACAACCGTCCGGAGAAGCAGATACGTAATCGCGTTGTAATTACACTCACATTAGATATGCATTCGAGATGGATTTACGAGCCGCGCATGATATGTGGGGCATTAATTTTGTCATATTTCGTCCACACAACGTCTACGGTCCTCATCAGAACATGTTCGATAGGTGAGTTTGTTATATGAGCAGCAAGGGATTTTGCTAGGAGTGATGCGCCTTCAAAGATATCGTGCCAGTTCTAGAAAATTTCCGAGAAAATTTTCTGAAAAGTAGAGTATCAAAGTGTGCACAGCTGGGGAAAATTTGTCAGGAAATTTTCCGAAAGAGTTGGAAGAAAAATTCCCGGCTGGATGAACTGTTTCTATTTGCCTCGTGAGCGAGTATGATGCCGTTAATCGCTCAAGGGATTTCGCTACGAGTTGTCGGCAGATGTGCCTCCGAAGGTATCACGCCTTCGTGTGTGAGCTCTCATTAATGCAACAGTATTAGTATATTGTAAAACTATAGGCGTGCAAGTTTCTAACGCAAATCCATAAAGCGTAATATTTTATCAGGTATCGAAATGTAGTGGGAATTTTCGTGAATCAAATCATCCATGGGAAGCCGTTGACGATTTTTGGAGATGGACAACAGCTTCGAGCCTTCTCTTATATAGATGATGTTGCGCCCGTCATTTCGAGAGCACCCTTAGTGAAATCTGCACTAAATGAGGTTAGATGCTAACGCTGATCATAGGGGAATATTTGCCAGGTATTCAATATCGGCGCTGACACTCCTTACAGTGTTAACCGATTAGCTCAGGAGATCTCCACTGCCATGGGGGAGGCCGATTACCCTCTCAAGTGAGCTGCAGTGTGGAGGTATTTTGAAACTATGAAAAATTCTGGGAAAATTTTTCTATAATTTTGATATACGATTGTGGTATTTATCGTCATGAATAATATTAGAGTTTCACAACCCGTTTTACGTGAAATGGTGATGAAACTCGGTGAAAAAGGCGATATTCGCGGTGATATGCAGCAGTCGTGGAATATATTTTTCACTAGTGTTTTTCATATCAGGGTGAAACTCCAGTGAATATTAAAAAACACAGTAAACCATCTCGTTGGTTTCTGTACACTTTTCGTGCCAGAATTCATATAATCATTGAGGAAAGCCAACATATATTCCCCCAACACTGCTAAGCAGCACTCCGAAGACTCCTGCTTGACATATGATCCTAGTACGTCAACTGTAGAGCCTCCGGAACGCTGATCACCTCAGTGTTGCAATAGATGTTCGTATTCTTCAGAGTTGTGAAGTTTACATACAAATTCGGGTAGAAGTGTACAGAAACCAATGAGAATTTCCACAAATGCCACCAACACATGTGGTTGACCATGTGCATATTTTCTCACCGCCGGATTACCCACTACTACTGATCTAATACTACAAGATACGAGCCGGCTCGCTTGGAGGTCGTCAATGCTGTTGCTAGTCACGAAAAGGTCCGACGGATATTCTCCCCGCCAGCGACTGTGGACCTCGCGGTTGGTCTGAAGAGAACTGTTGATTGGTAAGAGCTCTTGTCGAAGGAGAATGGTATGTCGTGCTCAGTGTTGGAGTAGGAAGATATCTTTGCTTTCCTTATTAGCTGAGCTCGGGAGGCTTCTGTAGTAGTATACAGAAACCAAGGAGAATTCTCGAAATTTCATCGGAATTTTCATTTCATCCGTTGTCCGTGATGTGCATATTTCCCCCCTCCCCTGCGCGCTCCTGCTGGTTCGTGATAGGTATAATGTGATCGGAGCGTCGTTCACACCGGTAGAGTTCGAAAGTGTTGAAGTGATTCAGCAGATGCCACCGAGTTGGATAAGACCGGGCCTTACAGAGCGCGCTATATGTCAAGGCACTAGAGTTAGTCCACGTGGTATTGGAAACGCCTTCGAAGGTGACCAGCGATTATAGAGGCATTTGAGAATTATTCTTGAGAGTTTCAGGAATGATTTCTGGACAAGAAGTACCTGTTATAGCACCACTGCTGCTACTGCTGGTCGTATTTGTGCTAATGTTGGGGTTAAGGTTATTTAAAATGGAACATGGTGATGGGAAGAGTACATGATCACGGACATTGAATATGTTCATGTTATGAAAGTGTACAGTCGTTTTGTGTTGCGTCACAGGGCCTTTCGACCGAGTTCACCGTAGTGTCTCATTCGTCAGCTAATGTGGCGGTTTTGTACATTTTACCACTGCTCAGCACACTATCCCTATTCTTCTCCGTATTAGCATTTCCGACGTCGTATGGTGATATCCTGAGATCGTTGCATCTGGTGACCTACACGTGTTGATAGCAATATGGGAGTTTCACATGAGTAGTTGGTGAAAGGCTTAGTGGGGATGAGTACTTAGGACCGCGATAGTCGATCCGGTGATCCCAGAAGGACAGAATTGTAAGACTTATCGTTGTGAAAGAGATACGAATCTCATCTCAAGGGCGACCCAAGAAACACGAGGAATGTCCTTTGTCCCATGACACAACCGAGCGTCCAGTGCCCTCATGGAGTGTGATGAGTACAGAGGTCCCATCAGCGAATGGTGTGGAGCCGACGATGTGATGAGATTGTTTTCAGGTCTTCTTTTGTGTATTTATGTTGCTAGTATATTACCAGAAGCAACTCTTAGTTACTATACTCATTGTTACAAGGAGTCTATTGTCTTCAAACTTCAATTGAAGATTAAGTGTTCTCAACGACTCGTGTATTGGTGATAAATAATACTCAATATAGCGGCGCTTTTGAGTAGGTGTAATTGCGCGCCTCAAATGATTGTTGTAGCGTGCAACCCATAGATGTTTGAGCGCTCCATGATTTCCAGCTCACCAATCAAATGGAGGACAGAGCTGTGATAAGACAGGTTAACCGATCTGTTGAGTGCAGGGATAAGAATTTCCATATATCTTTGAGAAACGACGTCCCCGCTAGGAGAATGTTCCTACTGTGATCACATTCACATGGGGAAACTGTTCGAAGAATGTGTTCCTAGCCATGCGGAAATTTCAAAATGAATTCTCCCTCAGAAAATTATGAGCTCCTGGACGAGCGCAGGGGTAAGAAACGCCAGTGTAGTCCGATCTATTGTCAGTAAGGACCCGCAGTGACCACTTGAACTCCACACGACGTAAAAAAGAAAAACTTGATATCATTGATACGATGACAACCGACGATAAAGTCGAGATTAAAAACTCGACAAGATTGTAACTATACATTGATGAGGAATACTAATAACGACCGAATAGACACGACTAAAGGATGATAGTCCCAGTTCCCCACTGCTCAACTCGCCAGTGATACACCATACGCCAGTTTAATATCTTTCTACCAACTTCGAAGTCGAAACCCGATAGGAACGACCATAGAGTTATGAGATCCTCTCTGCTAGAGGCATTGAGATCGAAGGAAACGGCCGCATCAGTCGACTTGTCCTCAGCACCAGCGGTAACTAGACTATCCGCTGAGGCAAACATCTTGCCACCCTGTGCAGTGCCTTTCGCGACTCCAGCAACAGTCATCTTCTGCCCACTACTTCCCAATTGAGTGAACGTGAGGGTGACCGCCACTTGGTCAGTGCTGGTGGCATTCCCATTGAAACAAATATTGAGGGCAAGACCGACACCAGCAGGGGTTTTCACTTGCCAAATTGTCGCACATGTCACCCCAAAGAACCTCAAACTTTCCAAGGTTTTACCACCAGGCCACGATAAAACTATATCGAGGCCTAACACACCTGTTGATGAAGGTTTATTCACATCTTGCAAAAGAAGTCCAAGTTCGACACCAAGTTTTTGCGGTTCAGCATCAATATCAATAAACAGGCATACATTAGGATCTTGTAGCGTGTTAATATCAGCCCGACATCCAGTAGGGTATTGGAACCTGTTGAGCTTGATAAGGCGCCTCCCAGGAGGAGCAGAATCAGCATAGAAGAAGTCGTACGAGCTGGTCCCTTCAACAATCGTATAGCAAGCAATAGGAGGCGGGGACTCTCCTTCATTCGGCGTGCACTCAGCGGGCTTTTGAGATTCGAAGAACTGGCGAGTTTCTTCGGTAATAACATGAGTCTTGGCCAACAAGGGATGAACATAGGGGACTGTCTTGGGGTCACCTGGGTTAGGGATGTGCTCTGTAACTTTATAGCTCTTATATACAGCGCTCAGAGCTTGCTCAACGGTCATGTCATCAGTCAGATTGGCCAAGTAATTGATACTCGTTCGCTGGACCACGATGTCACCCGCACCCGCAAGGCCCTCGATGTTATATAGAGTAGTGTTCGTCTCGTCGAGATGTAATTTCCACTTGTTCGGAGCAACTTGAGAAGCTCCTAGTAGATCGAACTCTTGCTTACCACCACCACCAGCTGGCAATCCACCGGTTGAAGTCCACACACTTTGATTCACGCCCTGTACTAGGACTAAGCCTTCATATTTCCAGTCATCGTCATTTAGTGTTCTATAGTTACCAAAGGTTTGAGATGACGTTACTTTCTCTTCTTTGATCACATAAGACTTGTGATCATAGATCTGCATGACCGTCCTCTTGGAAGGCGTAGTGACGTAGATCATGTATTGGTATGGTCGACTTGGCCATGCTACAACAGACACCTGGCCGTCCTTGACAACGTATGAGTCCTCAAGGATTGTTAAAGTCCTATCATCCATAAGGGGCAAGACCATATCAAAAGTTTCCATAGTTTGCGAGAGACCACAACTTGATTCCTTACCATTAGGTGTCTTGAATGCTTTGTTGCAATAATAGACAATCTTGGACTGAACACGCATATTAGTAGCATTGAACACGGTTGGAGGAGGTGGAGGTGTAGTGGTAGTAGTCGTCGTAGTAGTAGTGGTTGTAGTAGTAGTAGGAGTAGTAGTAGTAGTAGTCGGGCTGGTGGTGGTCTCTTTCTGTGAATAACAGAAACCACATAGAAGTGTCGAAATGAACGGAACCCTCATTTTCAACTAGAAGCTCTGCAAAAACAATGAGTCGATTTTTCGTCCATACTTCACTGTAATCACGAATCCAAACCACTGTTACAGCGGCCGCGCACTCTGTTGTGAGGGGACATATGCGCACGCGTACAGACTTTGCACGCGTCAACATCAGGATGAACTGGGTACACCAGTATCACCATCGGCTACCCGTATGGTGTCTGTAGCGGTCCAATGTAGTCGATGTACATGCAGCAAGGGAGTTCTTGATATACCTCTGGTGGGCTCGAACGAGTACTGACCATATAGTCCACTATCAAGATAGAGCTGTAGCCAGAGAAGTGAAAGAGTCGTCCTCAGTCCGGAAGTTTCAACCGCTCATCAGTGATCAATCAACAGACAGTATGTCCCATCAGACACACACTATCTCAAACCTCTTTAATGAAACTCACAGAATAACAACGTGGTAGGGAAGCTTCCAATGCAGAGTGTTCGCTGTCCGCGAATCTCAGATCTATTCCCCAAAGGAGATCTTAGTGAGGGGGAAGGAGGCGATTTCCCTGAGCCAGCTGGCTCAGACGACAACCGCAATATGAGGTTCAATATTACCGCATAAATGTGTGATTCTTTACGAAGATTTTACTATCCAAACCTATGGGGAATCCACAGTGAAGATGTGTTTCCGAAGATGTATCATACCATTTCAATGGAGTGTGTTAATGCAGCATGTCGAAGCCCGTATATCCCCTCCCCCAGGTTTTCCTCATTGCATACGCGATCTATATTAACCGGGCAGGAATGATAGATATTTTACTTATTCGACAACATGCTCAAATAATGCATCATATCAATCGAGCCACAAATTGAACTCAGAGCATCACCAACACTCCAACATGAGGAACTACGCGCAACATGAGTGAAACGTGTGCGACTAAACATATCAGTTCGATACAAAAATTCAAAATTCTTCATCCCGGGGCGTGAGTTCGGAAACATCACAGAACGCATCATGCCTGTGCTTTGCTGTATCACTTATAGGCGAAGATCTTAGAACTCAATTCATCGAGTTACCTTCTTTTTCCTGCGAAACTGCTCTCAAGATACCTTTGTGCGCCTCACCCG